GTTCGTTTGTTTGTTTTCTACTCTTTATATAGGAAAGATAGGGAAGGCAAGAAAGGGGGAGGGGTGGCCTTGTATGTGAAGGATAGCATAAAATCTAGCCTAATAAAAGTTTCAACTCTTTAACTTTCCCCAATCAAATGTGTCTGATTGTATATTACATGCAAACAACACTTCCAAAATGTTCTGGCTGAATTACCCGATCCATTCCTCTCAGCAGACCTAGCCTTGCTAATTATTTTGATAAATCTTACTGTGTAAAATGACTGATTCTATGTAAGGCAATTAAGGTTCAGAAAAATTGTGGAAGCTATACATTGAATATAAAAAGTCACCTAATATACATATTTCACAAAATATGTTAGTGACATGAATAGCCCTTTAAAGGAGTACTCTAACTAGCACAACCACTACAGCTCACTGTAGTGGTTATGGTGCCAAGAGTGCACTGCCACCATCCTAAAGTACAGTATAAAACTATTTGAGCACAGTCTGTCTACTTACTTGTGTCCCACAGGTGTCCACTCCACAGAGTCATTATGGTGTTTGGAGTGTTCCTTTAATACATGTGGAAGGTTTGTTATTTTTTAAAACCCACAAATAACCGACTGAACTGTGTTTCATGATTATTTATATTTTACAATTAATATTTAAATTCAAACCTCATTTTTTTTCATTTTTTTTATTTTTATTTTTGCAGTGCATATGAAAGAACAACGCGCATGGGGTACCCCAACGGCAATCCTCATGCTTTAAAAAAAAAATTTTTATAACAGTGAGGGGTATGTTAGTACTTTTACAATTTTATGTTTAGTATGCGGTTTAGCAAGATTATTCACGCTGTAAACAGACTCGTTTCATGTAATATCTATTGAGTGTAAAGTAGTGGCATACATGTTAGGCACACATGTGGAGACTCAGTACTTAACAAGCTGGTTTCAGAGAGGGAAAGTGTGAGACATGTACAGTGCCTATTAGACTAAACAGACTGTCCTAAATTATGTTGGTGTAGTGTACTGTGCTTGAGTAGGTAAGTATGCCGTTTGAG